AATACTTCCTTGAAATTAAACTCTGTCATGTGACCCGAGGGTACTCGTGGCAGTGTGGCTTATTGGTTTGTGGGTCGAAATTATACGCTACACTGTCATGGTTCGAGTTCCCCTTAGGGTGCTGCTGAGACCTGTACGAGGTCGAAACTGCAGTCCGCCCTGAATGAGAATACCCTTTGGGAAGCAAGGCTATGCGAGATTCAAAGGAAATGCAAGGTCTATATGTATAATTGCAGGAAAATTCAACTACCAGTCCTTCATCACCTAAAATGAAATAGAATGAACACATCTCATATAAAGTTATCTTACTTGATTTTAGCATTAAGTTATATTATTTTTATTTTTTCCTCCCGATGTCTTTCATGTGAGACATAAAACCTCAATGCTTTCAGCAATACTCTGAGGTCTTCGAGTGTACGAATACTCCGTTATGGTTAAACCTCAGTAGCCTAAGGAAACTTCACTGTTTATTTTCCAATATACCCAAGTCCGGTTTGGGCTTTTCGTCGTCAGCGCCAAAGTTTTTCGCCTGTCCTTCGATTATAATTGATTCTTTATCCTTCTTCTGTCAAGGGAAAGACAGACTTAGTTTCATAGATAAAACATAAAATAAAATTTCACTAAGGCAAGAAGTTTGACTAGCTGGAGGTCCACACATATAACCCCAGTTTTACCATCGTATGAGGTGATTTTGTTGGCTGTTTTTTCTGCACATAATGGCGAACAAAGGTTATAAGTTGGTTACCGTAAGTATTTCAATTAATTGCCTGTGTCTATCTCTCTCCATATGTTCATGCAATATTCGGTGGCTCAAAACGCCATGTATGTGAATGTTAATCTTCTGGTTTGGTTATTAGAGTCAACTTTCCAAATTTTGTTATTTAAGCTGCCTCTTGCTCATTATATCCCACTCCCTCTAAGCCTGCCCATTGTTCAGGGGTGATTTCTCCTATTAAAACTGCAGATAATCTTAGCTTTAAATGACTCTGCAATCTTGGGTTTAACTATATGCTTCGAGCATGAGTTTAATTTGCTTGTTATTTACTGTATTTATGTGCCATTGTAAGTATCTTTGTATTTACGGATCGGAATAGAGTCATCGTCGTCTCACGAGTGTATGTATTTGGGGATAGATAAAAGGTATTATTTCCTTTCCATGCAATATGAATAGTTCCTAAAATATAACGGATACGGCGACTAAACAGTTAGAAATTGAGTCGGCTAGATAATATATGAATTTCCGAGGGAGCCATGATATTAACTAGCTTATATAATAGTTATCAGAGAAGACTAAGCTACAGCCACGGCTCGCTTCACTCGTGCTGCCGACTACGAAGACGAACAAACTCATATAAGTGTAGCTCATTAAACTTCAAATGCTGAAGAAACATACAGCAGCTTTTCAATTTTCTTTCTACGATCGTTCGATATGCACTATATCTTATCCATAACTTTAGACCAAATTAATCCCTGCATTATTCAGTACAGCGTAGTTTGCGGTCTCCTAATGATTCCTAGTAACATAAGATTCAGCTTTGCTTTTGAAGAGATTAAGGACGCAACACAAAGACAACAAATCATCCTTGCATTTATGTGTTCAGTGTCATATTCTTTAACAAAGTTATGGTTTGATTTCCTAATTTTTTATTTAACAGATTGGTATTCGTCGTTTCTTTGCCTGTCCCGTGTACTCGGAATCGGGAGGCAATCCTAAACAGAAGGCACGAATGGAGCGCTTCTTTTCGGCTACTAGTCAGGCAACTGTAGCCAGCATCTACGCGCCTGTTATGTACGCTCCCCAACACGTTCTCCAGTTTCGAATTCGCGTTAACGAGGTGAACAGTTTTTCTCTATTTAGACAGCATATTTTGATTGTTTTTCTTTTATGATCTAAATGTTATTTTTCCCACCATTAAAAAACTATGGCTGTTGCTTTTTTGCTTACTAGATTTGCTGGCATAACTTAACATGAGGTCTTTTTTCACCTTTTAAATAATGTAGATGTGGACCTTTATTTTATCTACTTTTGCTTGCCTTTCTTAACTATAACATAAACAGCTTTGCAGCTCTGAGAAGGTGCAGTTCTCTTTCAAAGTCAGCACATAATTTTGACTTTAATTTAGCCTGTAAACCTCTTGCTCTTACAGCCTTCGTACGAAGGTTTATAGTAATTGTCTAATTATATTTATCAATCCCCTATTTTACTTGATTTTTTTTTCTATAACCTAACTCAATCCCCACTGTGAAATATTATGGACTTTGCTTTCTATTTTATACTAATGCTCAACAGCTTGCAAAATGGATACTTTTTAGGTGCATTTTGAGGGATATTACAATGGTCCTATCTTGCCATTTGGTTAAGAGTTAATATGCTGTAAAATCAGTTGTCCTTTATTCATTTTTATGGAAAAGCAGCATAAAAATTTAAGCTCTTTGTACCTACTCAGTTGCTATTGCTTATTTTCTGTCTGCGAATTCAATTTTTCATTTATAAGGACGATGATGATGAAGAAACTATAAACCAGCCCTATCTAGGTGAGCTAGTAGCTACTGGCTCTCTGCTCACAGTGGATCCATCCCGTCCTATCATCAAGCGCATTCTTCTCTCAGGGCATCCCTTTAAAATCAACAAGCGGAGTGTCGTAACAAGATTCATGTTCTTCTTCCCCGAAGACGTTAATTATTTCAAGGTACTCGTATAGGTCTCCTTTTTTTTAAAAAATTTCGTCCTTGATCTATTAAGCCATTTAATATAAATCGGTTATTTTCAAATAAATTTTTTATTCACACTTTCTGACCCTATTGACTGCTGGCCTACTCCACTGTAAGTACCTCATACCTAATAAAAAGAACATCTACTAGTATATATTTTAATTGTCATTGAGCTTTTCATAAGATCCAAATATTTTAAACGCAAGCAAGATTGCTTTGGAGGTATAACCTGATTTGTGCAAAGTTTTTGCCGCACCGTATTTCTAATGAAAAGAATCAGTGCCAATCTTTCGTCAGTAATGTGATGGACATTGTTAGAGTGAAACTACTCTGACCTAGGCGTGCTTGAAACTGCAGTTCGCTCCAACCGGGATGGGAATACCTTTTGGGAAACAAGGCTTTTTGAAATTCAATGGTAACTCAAGGTATACTCATATAATTGTGGGAAAATTCAACTACCAGTCCTTCATCGTCTTAACGAAATATGGTAAATACATCTCATAATTTATCAGTAGTCTTCAAAAACTACTTTGAGACGAAAACTTAGAAAAATTTCAGTTTAAAATAATTACTGACTTTCAAGGAGAAGCAGCTATTTGGGGCCAAACAGGGAGTCATGCAATTATACTAGGTTCCTTTTAGCTTTCGAGAAAGGGTAGGCAAACTGTTTAAGTAGTGGGAGACAATGAGCATGTATGCTGAGACGAACGCCATCGAAACCAAGTTTTTCTACCTACCTACAATTGTTTGTGTATCCAATAATCAGAAGTTGCCGAATATATGGATAATAAAAGACATCAAATATAGTGGCTTTACGCCCGAAGATTTCTAAGATGAAGCAATCAGTAGACATTAGCGAAATCATCAACATCCTAATAGGCGAGAACAAGTCTAGAAAATTAAGCAGAGACTATTTCTGGCTGTTAAAGTAAATCAAGGAATGGAAACACTAGTAAGCGGTTTAATTAACATGGAGTTCATTTTCTTCTCTAACCTCTCAATTGACTCGTGAGCTTTGCCTACGCACAACATATACAATCATAAATTATACTAGGCGTCAGTAATGTGGGATCAAACTAGTTTTTTATCTAATCAAACAACTGTTGGTTCTCATTTACAATTCTACTTTATTCCTCTGTTAGCATGTAGAGATAAACAGGAAATAGCCATCCAAATCATTCAATGTTTATTAAGGACATTAATTAGTTCATAATAAGCAGGATTGTGAAGGGCCACTATTCTTGGTTTGGTTAAAAATGTTTTCACGCTCTGATAATGTCTGTCACATATCTGACGAAACAGCACGGATCAATTGAGATCTCAGTACGATGTACTGAGGACGAATCAACAGTCAAAACTTCAAGGCTAATTTATCAGTCCATTCCACTCTACTTCACAACCTAAATAAAGGGTCAAATTGAATGAACTAGTTAGATGTCCTTCGAGGCTCAGCTTTTCTTCATATTGTATTTTGTTTGTATTGCTTACATTCTGCCTGACCTCTATTTTTCACTAAATTACCTTTATCCCTTATTTAGCCTATAAAGTTATTTACAAAATGGGGCGCCATCGGTCATATCAGACAGTCTTTGGGCACCCACGGATATATGAAATGCCAATTTGATCGAACCATAAAATCGTCCGACGTCGTGCTTATGCCGCTTTATAAGCGTATCTTTCCCAAGTGGACCTATGAGCCCTGCGTTGCCGATACCCTTGCCCTTCCTCGCGATCTTTCTCTACCCTCCAACATGCTTGAGGCAGCCACTCGTTTCATCAACACAAACAAGCTGGCTCTAAGAAATGTGGTTGATAAATCTCAACTAGAACAAGGTCTGGTGTTCCGACCGCGACGGCAAGACATTGAGATAGGCCAGAAGAGGATGAACGAGGGATGTGAACTAGATGAAGATGAAACAGCAGCCTTGTTCTCTTGAGGATAATTTGATCAATTCCAGCTTCCCCATCTTTAAAATTCGTCCTAAAAAATTATCTCGACATTCAATTATTTCCATTCTCTTGTGCGACCTCTTTCTCCTTTTTCTCACTGCTATACAAGGAGGGATTCTTATTATAATAATTTCCAGTCACTGTTGATTGATATTTTATACTTCTTAGTG